CACACACACACACACACACACACACACACACACACACACACACACACACACACACACACGTTGGTTCTTGAACCCCGTGGGGACCTTCCATTGACTTCCATTCATTTTTGTTAGATTTTATAGCCTAACCCTGACCATTTACCCTAAAACTAACCATTACTGGTCTATAGCTAACTCTAACCTGAACCAAAACTTAACTCACACCATACCTCTAAATCTAACTAGTAAAAAAGCACAGCAGATCTGGAGACAAAGTGAGGACATTGAAGAGGTCCTCACTTCACATCAAAGACCTCAGTTTGAAAGTAACTATGGTGCAAATGGTCCTCACTCTGTAGTAAAAACAAGTACACACACACAGTTTTTCAACCTGTAGATCAGTGAGGAAATGCCATTGTCACAGTGAAACTACCACTTGTTTCTTATCACACTAACAAATGGGTTTGGTGTGAAGTGGAAATCCAACATTGTCGCCTGTTTAGCTGCTCTGTTTTAATGAAATAGTCTGTCATGCGTCCAAAAGAGATTCTTAATGATTAAAAGGTTATTTATGCTGTCATAGCATCATTTTGTGGATGAATTTGTAAATAAATGGAGCAACATCAAAACTTTTTATTTCATATTGTATGTTGTCTCTGCCGGGGATAACCAAGGTGTTCTCGGGGGAAACTGTCACGTTCTCGTGGTCATAATGTGAGTGAAGGGAGGGGCCCTGACGTGAGAGCCTAAATCAATACTTGAAAGTAGATTGTGTTATCTGCGTTTCTATTTTTATTCAGTTTTGTAGCTGAAGAAAAGCAGAGCAGCCTTCAGGTCACGCTACTCAAATATCTGTCTGATTCAGAGAGTTTTTTGGTTTCCTCGAATCCGTTTTTTTTTTTACCCGCTCATTTAATCCTTTCTATTTCCCTTTTCTTTTCCTCTCTTCTCCCGCTGTCTGCTCGTCTCTCAGCCTCGAGCTGTGTACTGTAAAGACGTCCTGGATATCGAGCAGTTCTCCACAGTCAAAGGCGTGAACCTTGACCCGACAGATGACGACTTCTACCACAAGTTTGTCACAGGCAGTGTCCCCATCCCGTGGCAGAACGAGGTACTGCGCTCATGATGTCATTGTTCAAACCCCACACTAAACACATACCCTTTTTTAACACTTTGAGATTTTTGTTAATGAAAACTATGTAACAAATTAAATTTAATATTATTATTGTTGTTGTTGTTATTGTTGTTAATATACCAACACATGCTGTGTAAACAACTACTTTAAAGAGAGAATATATGGATAACATAGAAGTGCAGTTTGTTAAAGTCAGTCAGCTCTGGTGGTCGTCTTGAGTTTGATCTCTTTGCTTTGATTTCTTTACAGTTTGTTCTGATATATTTCTGTGGCATGCAATGTTGTAGCTGGCTTTTATTAGACATAAAACGCCCGAAATCAGAATTATAGAGCAAAATTTCTCTTTCTTGCTTTCCCTGCTTAGATGATTGAGATGGAGTGCTTCAAAGAAATCAACATCTACGAGACTGATGGGATCCTGTGCTCAGACCTGGATGTGAACCGGCCAAACCCTCCTCCAAAGAGAGGCTTCTTCTACCGCCTGTTCAGACGAGAGGCAAGTGCTAGTGCTCCAGCAACTGTCCGAGGGGGTGGGGGCTAAGGTACTTCCTCTTTTCCTTCTTTACTTTCTTCTCTGTTTTTCCCCTCCTCCGGCCTTGTCCAAACTCAGCATGTGAAGCGATGACCTGAGGGTTGGGTTTGAATAAGGCCTGTCTTTTTTCTGTCCTTTGGGGCCGAACAGTTCACTCCCTTGTTGATGCTTGGCTGTTTGGTTTACTTTGCAACGTTAGTAATGTTTTCTTGCAGGAAGCTAATCCTGCCTTTTTTGTTGTTTGAATCTTAAATGGTGCAGATTACTTTCTCCAAACTATTCTTTTAAACTTTCTTTTAAACTTTTATTTCTTTTGCTCCAAGTTTTATTTTTACTGCATCATTCAGGTGGGTTCTATTGGGCAATGTGTCTTTCAGGCTGCCTGCAGGCCGCCTATAACACAACTCTAATTCTCCAAAAAGAGATGGGAAATGTAAATAAAACTAAATGCAGTGGTTTGCCTGTTCTGGTGTTGCAATTTGCAAAAAAAATAAAAAACCTTTACCTTTCTAAAATACCCTTTGGATAATGTTAGGAGAGGGGTCTGCAACCTTTATGACCAAAAGAGCCATTTCTGCTGCTTGACTCACTAATAAAATGTGTCCAGAGCCGGACACATCTACAACTGTGATTATCAACTGGCGGTCCGTGGGCCTTTTCCAGGCCTTTTTGGGAACCTTTACGGTCAGTGGAGGTGACATTATAAAACTAAAAAATAAAACTAAAAAAT